CAAAATTTCAATTATCTTTGTGAATAATAAAATTCTTCTCTGAAATTCAATTATTTGCAAAGAATTTTAATAAAATTCATCCTAGAAATTCAATTATTTTCAAAAGTAATAAAATTCTTGGCAGAAACTAAATTATTTTCAAAATTTCAATTATTTTTATAAATATCAAAATTCAATTACTTTTAAACATTTTTTAAAAAATCTGTTCAAAATTTCAATTATCTTTGAAAGTAATAAAATTCTTTTCTGAAATTCAATTATTTGCAAAATTCTTAATTAAATTCTTATCAAAAGTTAAATTATCTTTATAAATAATAAAATTCATTCTAGAAATTCAATTATGTTCAAAATTAATAAAATTCATCCTAGAAATTCAATTATTTTTAATTTTTTTTTAAATTTCTCGTCAAAATTTTAATTATCTTCATAAATAATAAAATTCATCTTGGAAATTTAATTATTTTCAAAAGTTCTGTTAAAATTCTTTGCAAAATTCAATTATGTTCAAAAGTAAAAAAATTCTTCACAGAAATTCAATTATTTTCCAATTTTTTTTTAAATTCTCCTTAAAATTTCAATTATCTTTGTAAATATCAAAATTATTCTGCAAAATTCAATTATTTACAAATGTTTTATAAATTTGTTTCCAATAATTCATATATTTTCATAAAAAATAATTAAAAATTTTTTTTTATAAAGTCTTATAATATAAAATATAATGATTTTATCACTCGGTCATCTTTAATTATTATAAAACATGAAGACATCGATTGCTCCGAGTCGAAGACTCGGAGTGATCGATTTCTTCATGTTTTATAATATATTTTTTCTGAGTTGTTTAATTTCAAAAAGGTTTGAATTTGAATCTTTTGAAAAATTTTAATCCCTATGGAAAAATAATAATTAAATATTTATTTAAAAAAGAAATTATTGATGTTTTCGAAAAATTTGAAAGAAATTTGTAAATAAATGTAACAGAACATTTTTTTGACTCAAATTTTTTTCTTTGAATTAAAAAAAAAATTTTAATTTCAGTCGCATTTTACTAAAAAAAATTTCGAAAAAGTCGATTAGTCGCGATTTTTTCACAAAAAAGTCGAAAAAAGTCGAAAAAGTCGCACAATCCGAGCCCTGTACCTATAAATTTCTACCAAAAAAAAAAAAAACAAAGAAAAGGAAAATAAAATACAAAAAGAAAAAAAAATAATTTCCATAGGAAAATTTCAAAGTGCGAGAATTTATTTAATGGCTCATTAAATTGTCTCTAATTTAGAGTAGTGAGGTAGGAAAAATTTGTAATTTCCACGAGAGTGAAATTTTATATATATAAAATTCTCTAAAAAGAATAATATCTTGCTAAACAGGAATGCAGAGAGCATTTAATTTGTTTCAAAGGACTTTCTCAATTCTCAAGTTAGGGAAGAAATCCAGAGTATGCACAGTTTCGTAAAGCAGTTGCATTTACGTGAAACTCAAATTATCCTGGCTTTAATTTTAATTATAAAGGACTTGAAATGTATTTGGGATTTTAGACTGTTTTTGCACGAAACAACTAAATGAATGTTAAATGGAAAATTTGATACTGTAATAAATTAAAAATGTTAAAATAAATATGAGACTTATCATCACTTGCACTTTTTCCAATTTGTTCTCAAGTTCTTTCCAGATTTCTAAATTTCAAAATCAGATTTATTTTACATTTTAACACTGGAAAAACAAGAATTTTATTTTTTTTAAAGTTGTCAAGCAAAGAAGTTTAGTTTTTTCGTTCATTTTTTGCGAGAATAAAAATAATATTCAGGAATTTATGATTAAATAATTCACTCACCAATAGCAAACCCTTTTTGAACAATGCGAAGACTGCCAATTCGATACGTCCTCCTCTTTTTTGTCCTTTGAGTCTAAAAAAAAAAATTGACAATTAGAATTTCATTTCAATTTTAGAATATTGTTTACTTTTAATTATTTATAAATTAATTATTATTTTATATTGATTTACTATTTATCTCTTTGTGTTTGATTCATTCTTAAGGTTTTGTGGGAGAAAAAATTATTTCATAAATTTATTTCTTATTGAATTACTTTTCACTTAAAAGACAAAAAAATATTTTCGATTTGAATTTTTTAGAAGTGATAGACGAAGGGAAACAATTTTTTTGATAACTTTTCCCATATGTTCTTCATTTTCTAATGTAATTTTGATTTTATTTCTTAAAATTCGCGCCAGATTTTTATTTATTAGCAACAGCAGCGCCTCTAGAATAATTGCACAAATATTTGAATAAAGAAATTAAAATTATAAAATTTTTGCAACTATACACAAATTCTTAGTATTTTTGAAAAAGTCCTTTGACAATTTTCAAACTCATTTGTTGACAATTCAATTTTACAAAATTTCAATTATTAGGAAATTCTTTAAATAAATATAAATTAGAAAATAAAAAATTCAAATAATATAAAAAAAATTCAATTAAACTTTTTTCAATTATTTAAATACAAATAACAATAATTTATTGAATAATTAAATGTTCCTGAAAATTAAATTCTCATATACAGCATTTTATCAACAAATTTTTAAATAATTAAATTCTTTTGACGAATTTAATTAAATTTTTTAGGAATAATTACTATTTTTCGAGGAATTCAATTAAAATTGTATTAAAAATAATTGAAATTCTGCGATGAGTTTTATTATTTATGAAAATAATGGAATTATTATGAAGAAATTTGTAATAAATTTGTAAATAACTGTATTACTGTAAAATTTTTAGTATTTATGAAAATAATTAAAAGTTTGCGTTCAATTTTATTAAAATTTTTTTCAATAACTGAATTTTTTTGAAAAATGATATTAAAATTGAAAATTGAAATTTGATATTGATATTAAAATAATTGAAATTTTGACAAGAATTTTATTAAAATTTTTAAAAATAATTTAAATTTTGACAAAAATAATTTAAATTTTTAAAAATTGAAATTTTGACAAGAATAATTAAAATTTTTTAAAAATAATTGAAATTTTGACGGGAATAATTAAAATTATTAAAATTTTTTAAAATAATTGAAATTTTGCCAAGAATAATTAAAATTATTAAAATTTTTGGAAATAATTGAAATTTGTCAAGAATTTTATTAAAATTTTTGAAAATAATTAAAATTTTAACAAGAATTTTATTAAAATTTTTAAAAATAATTTAAATTTTGACAAAAATAATTTAAATTTTTAAAAATTGAAATTTTGACAAGAATAATTAAAATTTTTTAAAAATAATTGAAATTTTGACGGGAATAATTAAAATTATTAAAATTTTTTAAAATAATTGAAATTTTGCCAAGAATAATTAAAATTATTAAAATTTTTGGAAATAATTGAAATTTGTCAAGAATTTTATTAAAATTTTTTAAAATAATTGAAATTTTAACAAGAATAATTAAAATTATTAAAATAATTAAGAATTTGACAAGAATTGACAAGAATTTTATTAAAATTATTAAAAATAATTGATATTTTGACAAGAATAATTAAAATTTTTGAAAATAATTGAAATTTTGGCAAGAATTTTATTAAAATTTTTTAAAATAATTGAAATTTTGGCAAGAATTTTATTAAAATTTTTTAAAATAATTTAAATTTTAACAAGAATAATTAAAATTTTTTAAAATGATTGAAATTTTGACGAGAATAATTAAAATTATTAAAAATAATTGAAATTTTTACGAGAATAATTAAAATTATTAAAATTTTTGAAAATAATTGAAATTTTGACAAGAATAATTAAAATTATTAAAATTTTTGGAAATAATTGAAATTTGTCAAGAATTTTATTAAAATTTTTGAAAATAATTGAAATTTTGACAAGAATTTAATTAAAATTATTAAAAACAATTGAAATTTTGACAAGAATTTTATTAAAATTATTAAAAATAATTGAAATTTTGCCAAGAATTTTATTAAAATTTTTTGAAAATTATTGAAATTTTGACAAGAATTTTAATAGAATTTTTGAAAATAATTGAGTTTCAGAGAAGAATATTATTTCTAAAGATAATTGAAAAATTTTGACAAGAGTTTATAAAAATTTTTTGAACATAATTGAATTTTTGCCGAAAAATTTTATTACTTTTGAAAATAATTGAGTTTTTGCAATCATTTTTAATTTCTCTGAAATTCTCTAAATTATGTCGGTATACAATTTACGAATTTTTCTTACTTTTTCTTTCAAATTACGGACTTTACGGGCCTTTTTTAAAAAAAACTAACTAACTGACTTTCTTTATTTTATTTCTATTTATCATTTACTATTTAGTAATAAATAAATAATTCAAATTACGGTCATGTAGAGAAAAACGTGGTTTTTGTAAATTATCTTTCAGTTAGAAAACAAATATTAATTTTATTTTTCAAAATTGCCGCCAGATTTTTAGATTTAAGCAACAGTGGCGCCTCTGGAGAAATGGCGCCAATTTTTGAATTTTACATAAATTAAAGTTCTGTAATTTGTACAACAAATAAAAAATTCTCAGTTTTTAATTTTATTCTATCAATTTTCAATTCAATTTTTAATTTTATTCTATTAATTTTCAATTCAATTTTTAATTGAATTTTTAATTTTATTCTATTAATTTTCAATTCAATTTTTAATTGAATTTTCAATTTAAATTTCAATTCAATTTTTAATTTAATTTTCAATTTAATTTTCAATTTAATTTTCAATTTAATTTTCAATCTAGCAAATTTTTGTTTATTTTAACTTTATAAAAAATACGTTATTTTTTTAAAAAAAGAACAAAAAAAATTGTCCCTTTTTCCTCATCAACGGAGTTGGAAGATTTTAATAATGAATCAAGAGAGGAGAGAGAAGAGTCAAGAGTTAGAGGGAGGAACACAAGTGGGATTTAATATACGTGACTTGATTTGCTTTTTGAGGCAGAAATTGACTATACTATTCGTCTCGTTTCGTGTCGTTCTAATTAAAATGTGTCGTTAATTTGTTGCACAGATGGTGGAGTGGTGGATGGCTCGAGAGCAGGACCAGTGGTCACACCAAACACACTGGAATTGACTCCACGAGGTAGAGTGACTTTACTGCAGGCATCACCGGAAACTGCACGAACTTATCTACCACCGGAATATCGTCCTGGACGCGTCTACTCTGACACAGATTCTGAAAAGGTACATCCAGACCAAAAAGCTAATTGCCCCATTCCATTCGCTTCACATGAAATTTACTTTTCAAATATTTTTCTGCCTCAGTTAATTTTTAATTTGCAAAAAAATAATTCTCTTTTCTCCTTTTTATACATAACGTTTCATACATTTATCCTACCATTTAAATTCATAACTAAAAGCAAAATGCATGGATGAGAAATATTTTAAAAGAGCCTCTCTTCTCATCGCTATTTTTAATAATTACGTAGGTATGATTTTTATAGAAATTTTCTTGTGTGACTTTGAAAATATTTTCTGTCTCGAAAAAATTGAAATTGAAAACAAAAGGAATATTTTCTTTCTCAAAAAAAAAAAAAAATGAAATGAATTTTTTTTTCTCAAAAAAAAATCGAATATTTTCTTTCTCAAAAAAAAGAAAAAGAAACTAAATGAATAGTTTTCTTAGAAAAAAAACAAAATATTTTCTTTTTTAGAAATCAAAAAGAAAGAAAAATATTTTCTTTATGAAGAAGAGAAGACAAAAAAAAATAATTTCTTTCTTAAAAAAACAGAAAGAAAAAATCAGGTTTCTTTTCCAAAAAGCAGAAACAAAAAAATATTATTTTCTTTTTCAAAAAACAAAACCAAAACGAAAAAAATATTTCTTTTGCAAAAAGGAAAAACAAAAAATTTTTCCTTTATTAAAAAAGTAAATAGAGAGAAAAAAATTAAATAAATACAATTTTTTTACCTATTGAGAATGAAAATAATGTTTTTGTTTTTTCTTTTCCAGAATAAAAATATTTATTTGATTTTGTTTCTTTTTTGAAAGAAAGAAAACAGTTTTTGTTTTTGCTTCTTGAGAGAACAAAAATAATATTATTTTTTTTGTGTTTTTATTTTTTGAGAAGGAAAATATTTATTTTTGTTTTCTTTCTTTAAAGGCAAAAACAAAAATAAATTATTTTCGTTCTAAAAAAGTGAAAACAAAAGCAAAAAACCAAATTATATTATTTTTGTTCTCAAAAGGCGAAAACAAAAACAAACAATTTTTTCTTTATTAAAAAAAAAGTGAAAACAAAAAATTTATTATTTTTGTTTAAAAAAAAAAAATTTTTTTTCTTTATTATAGAGGATATTTAAACAAATTAAATAAATAACAAAAAATAAATTTTTGTTGTTTTTTGAAAATAAAATATATTATTTTCCTTCTTAAAAAGCGAAAACAGAAACAAAAAATTTGTTCTTTATTGAGAAAGCAAATAGAGATAAAAGAAATTAAATAAATATATTTTTTACGCTTTTTGAGAATGGAAATAAATTTTTTGTTTCTGACTTTTTAGAAAAAAAAATATATTTCATTTTGTTTTTTGGAAATAAAAATATTTGAATTGCTGTTTTTTTTTTTTGCTTTTAAGGAAAGAAAATATTTATTTGATTTCTTATTTTTCCTATTTGTTTTTTTTTAGAAAGAAAATATTTTTGAGAATAAAAATATTTATTTGATTTCTTGTTTTCTCTTTTTGCTATAGAAAGAAAACATTTATTTGATTTTCTAGTTTTTTATATTTTCTTTTTCATAAAGAAAATGTTTTTTCTTTTCGTTTTTGCAAAAAAACAAAAATACTATTTCTTTTGCTTTTTGAGAAAGAAAATAGTTTGTTTTTTATTTTCTTTCTCAAATTAAGCAAAAACAAAAATATATTATTTTCGTTCTCAAAAAGCAAAAAGAAAAACAAAAAATACATAAGAGAAACAAAAGATTATAAAAATTTTGTTTTATTTAGAAACATATGTTATTTTCATAAATTTTACCATCTCCTTAAACTTCTGTGATTGTTTTCAATTACAATAAAGTCCCAATATATTGTTTTATTGCTAAATTTTCCTTTTTCCAAGAGCAGTAAAAAATAAAAAAAAAAACTTATTAAATAATATAACATAATCTATTTTCTCGGTTTCATTAAATTTTTTATGGCTATTTTCCCTCAAACTTCGACAATTGGCTTATCTCAAGTTGCAATAATTCTTTACGAGCTTTCAAAAGCTTCTGGTTAAAAAAATAATATATAGTTGCCTCAAAAGTTTCTTTTCCGCAAAAAAAAAAAAAATTTTTTTCCAAAGCAATAATTTTATTTTTTTCTATATCAATAGAAGAAAAATAGAATTGATTTTTTTTTCAATTAAAATTGAAATCTATTAGATTTATTATTAAAATTTAGAAAAATTGTTAAAAAACTAAATTATTATTTTTATATAATAAACTAAAGAATTAAAATTTAAAAGATTTATCTATTTATATATCTATTTTTTTTCGTACTGATAAAATGACCACGCAAAATGAAAGATATATTCAGAGGATTAATTGGATTTTTATTTTCAAATATTTTTCTTTTTTTTTATTATTTTTTTTTTTTGTTCGTCAATACTCGTCAATTCACAAGGACGTGTCATACTTGCCCGAGGTGCTTGCTTTTAATCACATTTTCAAAGCTTTTTGGGAGTTTTAAATTATTTGTATTTTTATTTCTATACAAATGTGAAAAGTTTGATAGACAAACTTTTTTTATTTCAAGCCAAAGAATATAATAAAAAAAACATTAACTATTATTTTTGTTACAATATTTAATTATTTATTTTTTTACTATTAAAAATATAAACAATAAAAATAAATGACTGAAAATAATATTGAAGGAAAAATAAAAAAAAAGTACAAACCGAAAAAATATTTGATTGAAAGTGAAATGTAAAATAACAAACAAACAAAAAATGTAATTGTAAAATTCTCATAAGAGTTGGTAAACTGTCGCTGAGAATTAATAAAATTTTATTAAGAGTCATTGAAATGTGACTGATTCAATCAAAGTGGTCATTGCAGTTTCATTGACATTTATTTTTTGAACAGTAACCAATTTCGATTGATTGAACCATTCGAATTTAATGGAACGTCAATGGGAATTCATTCTCAAATATAGTGTCAATTCATTGTTCTCTCTTTTACAATTTTTTAATTAATAAAAAAAAATAATAAATAAATAAATAAACATATTTTACATTTTCTACAATTTTTTTTTATTCTTTATACTTTATAATTTTTTCAATTAATAAAAAAATAAGAAAATTAAATTTTTAATTTAAAATTTAATTTATAAAATTTATTCTGACAGTTATTAAATATAAATAAATTTATTAGTTTTTGTTGTAACAAATAAATAAATGTACAATTTTTTACTGTAATAAATAATTTTCGCTGACGTACTACTTGGTTATCAGGATTAATTTATTGATGTGCAATAAATAATAATTTTTTATAAATTCGAAACTTGCACTCAAACTGAATATAAATATTTTAATTAATAATATTAATGTTATATTATTATTATTATTATTATTATTATTATTATTATTATTATTATTTTTTTTTTTTATTTTTATTTTTATTTTATAATTTTTCTAATTTTTTAAATGTAGTGAAAAAATGAATAAAAGTAAAATACAATGTATTTTTACATTGTATTAATTTTATTTGTTTAATTATAATATTTTAATATTACATTATTAGTATTATTATTATGATTTTATAATTTTTTGTGTTTTTTAAATACAGGGAAAATAAAAATAAAAATAAAATACATTGTATAAATAAATGTATCCGAACTGAGTTGTAAAATAATATGAAAGTGGGAACCTTTTTTAAACGTTGAAAGCGATAAAAAAATGAAGGAAAGGACACTTTAGATAAAAAAAAAGAAAAAAAATACAATTCCGAAAGAGATAAAAGTAGAAAAACCTTCTGTCAGTATATTCACTTCCTTCTCTTTATTGTCTTTTATTTGAAAACAAAAATTCAATGTAAAATATTAGTTAAAAATATATTTTCGTGTGTTTTTATGTCAATTTATTTTTTCTATTTATTTATTCTCAATTATTATTTAGTGGCAAATTAAAAAAAATTTTAAACCATTATTAAACCACTACCCAGATTGCACGAAATCTTTCAACAAGTTTTATAACATTATTATATTGTTATTACATAACAATTAAAAAATAAAGACTAAAAAAATTATTAATAATTATATTATTTACTATTAATAATTATATTATTTATTATTAAAAATTATATTATTAATTAATAATAACAAAAAATATTATTAACAATATTTTCGTTAAATATTATATATAAAAGTGTCCAAAAACAGGTGCACTGGTTTATTAAGACGTATCACTAAATTTGACGATGACACTCGTTTTGAAAAGTAAAAAAAAATAAATAATGGGTCATTTATAATTTTTTTGAAAAAGTTAATTATGAAAATAATTACGTATAATTACAGATGTGGATGTATTCATTGGGTCGTGCCTTATTAGACACAACTCCAAGGGTAACAGCACTAACGGGAACAGTGTCCGTTTCACCCTCATGTGCTTTGCAGTCAGTTTTGGCTGCAATGACAGAACCGGATCCACGGCGACGAGCTTCATTAATGAATCTTCTTGATGTAAGTTATTTTTTTACTTTCAATTGTTTCATTCTTTTAATTTTCTGTTATTACTTTCTATTTATTATTTATTATTTATTATTTTTTATTTTATATTTATTATTTTTTATTTATTATTATTATTCTATTTACTATAATTTTTTTAATGTTCTGTTCTATTATTTTCTGTTTTTACTATTTACTAGTTGCAAAAATTTCATAATCTCAATTTCTGTATTCAAATTTTGGCGCCTTTATTGTAGAGGCGCTCCTGTTGCTTAAACATAAAAATCAGGCGCCAATTTTGAAAAATAAAGTCAAAATTACATTAGAAAATGCAGACCATGCGGGGAATTGTTAAAAAAAATTGTTTCCCTTTGTCTATTACCATTTTTGTCATCAAAAATCAGGAAAAATAATTTTTTCTTAACTATTTTGAATTTTATTTTTCAAAATTCGCGCCAAATTTTTAATTATTAGCAACAGCAGCGCCTCTAGAATAAAGGCGCGAAAATTTGAATACAGAAATTTTTCTTTTTTTTGTTTATTTACGGAAAATAAATAAGCAAAAAAAGAAAAATAGTTCCAGTTCATTGGTCACAAAACGTACATCGTTTCCCCTTTTAATAAGGGGTTATTTTTAATAATTTACCCCCGAAAAAAGCGGAAATTAGTTCCTGAAATTCATTATCGAACTTAAGAGGCATAAAATCAATATCAAATTTACCCTCCTTGCGCTAAACGGTGGAATAAAAATTTATTTCCTGGACAATAGAGATGAGTAGACTCGTTTTTATTTATTTTTTTTTTCCTTTCTTCTTTCTTTAGTAGAAAAAGAAGCTATTTTTTCGGAGGTGAACAATTAGTCAGGTGGATGTATAGGAAGGAATGCAATGTCGACGATGCAATGGTCTAATTGTATCAGGTGTGGTGAGTGTTTTCGATCTAATCTTAACTATAGACCTGAGAACAGATGGCTTTCACGGTTTGAGTGGGTGGAATGGTTTCTATCGATCTAGCTCAACGTGAGTGGTCTCTCTCTCTCGGTACGCTAAACTCAACTGCACACAGATTAATTAGCGTTATTGCCAGCAGCCATGAACCGTAGTAATTCAATGCTCCGCGGATACGTGACGTAGGTGCCGAGAACCCTACACACAGCTGCATCTGACTACAATCGTTTCGCTCTAAAAAAAACTCTACACAACAAAATAGGCTCATATATTTATACATATGGCTAAAATATACGAAAAAAAATTATTAATAATAAAATAATAATAATAATAATAATAATAATAATAATAATAATAATAAAAACAAAATTATATATTTATATAGTCAATTTAATGTAATTTTTTATTTATTTGTCAATTTAATATAAAATTGTAGAGACAGGATTTTCTAAGGGCCCCCTAATGATGGCCCTTACATTATTTTCGAAAAAATAGTACTTTTGCAGAAAATTTTAATTTACAAAATATTCAGGGGTAAAAAAACGTCCAGACATTTTTTTCCTCATTTAAAATATATCTCAGTAGCAAAAAAATATAAACTATAATTATTATTTACAATAACAGGGTTGCCACAGGTCAGGGAAATCAGGGAAAAGTCAGGGATTTTTATTAAAGTAACTGGAAAAAATTGAATTTTGGAGAAGTTACAAATAATTGCAGACATTCCATTATATTCAAAAGTAATAAAATTTTTCGCATAAATTCAATTATGTTCAAAAATTTAAAAAAATTCCCATAAAAATTCAATTATCTTTAAAAATAATAAAATTCTTCTCCAAATTTCAATTATTTTCAAAAATTTTAATAAAATTCTTTGCAAAATTTCAATTATTGTCAAAAAATTTTCACCAATTCTACCAATATCTACTAGTTTAATAAAATTTTTCAAAAGAATTCAATTATTAAAAAAAATGTAGACAAAATTCTAAGCAAATATTAAATTATTTTCATAAATAATACGAATTTTACAGGAATTCAACTATTTACAAATTTTTTATAAATTTCTTCGCAATAATTCAATTATTTTCATAAGTAATAACATCTTTTAAAAGAATTCAATTATTTTCATTGAATAATAAAACTCATCATAGAATTTCAATTATTTTTCATACATTTTTAATTGAATTCCTCGAAAAATGTAATTATTCTTGAAAATTTTATTAAAATTCCTCGAAAAAAATTCAATTTTGATGATAAAATTCTTTATGATAAAATTCAATTTCGAGAAATATTCATTTATTCAATAAATTATTTATTTTTGCATTTAAATAATTGAATTCTCGTAGAATTTTCCGATAAAAATTTATTTAAAAATGAATTTTAGATAATAATTGAATATTAAAAACATTATAGCATGAATTCTTAAAAATAATTGATAATTGAATTCTTTCGAAGAATTTTAATAAAACTTTTGAAAATAATTACATTTTTTAAAGAATTCACTTAAAATGTGTATTAAAAATAATTAACATCCTGTGAAAAATTTTTTTAATTTATGAAAGTAATTGAATTCAATCAAATTTTTCAATCAATTTTTTCGAAATTTTTTTTAAATAATTGAATTCATGTGAAAAATTTTATCACTTGTAAAAATATATGAATTCCTGCAATAAATTTTATTACATTTTATTTCAATAATTAAATTCTTTTGCGAACTTTTATTCAAATAGTAGATTTTAAAAATATTTGAATTTCAACGAAGAATTTCATTATATTGATTAAATGTAATTAAATTCTTGCAAAAAATTTAAGAAAATAATTCCATTTTTCTAAGAATTTACTTTAAATTGGATTAAAAATAATTGAAATCCTTAGAAAAATTTTATAATTTATGAAAATAGTGGAATTCTTACAACGAATTTTATCAATTTTTTAAAAATAATTGAATTCATGTGGAAAATATTATTACTTGTAAAAATAATTGAATTTCTGCAATAAATTTTATTACATTTAATTTAAATAATTAAATTCTTTTGCGAACTTTTATTCAAATAGTAGATTTTGAAAATATTTGAATTTTAGCAAAGAATTTCATTATTTGTGAAATGTAATTGAATTATTGCAAGAAATTTTTAAAGATAATTTCATTTTTCGAGAAATTTACTTAAAATTGTATTAAAAATAAAATAATTGAAACCCTGTGAAGAATTTTATTATTTATGAAAATAATTGAATTCTTGCAACGAATTGTATTATAATTTTTGTAAAGAATTTAATTTTTTTTGAAAAATTTTATGAAAATTAAAATTTTTATAAAACATGAAGGTATCAATTGCTCCGAGTCGAAGACTCGGAGTGATTGATATCTTTATGTTTTATAATAATATTCTTATAAGTTGTTGAATTTTAAAAATATTTTAGGGTCAGGGAAAAAGTCAAAATTTTGTCTGGAAATCAGGGAAATGTCAGGGAAAAACAAAATTAATTTTTTTTGGCAACCTTGAATAACGAACATCAGTACCATTTTCGAAAAAATGGTACTTTCATAGAAAACTTTAATTTTCTAAAAAATTTAATAGGTAGAAAACGTTCAGAAATTTTTTTTCTTACACAAAATATTTGCCTCAGTAGCAAAAAAATATAAAAAACAATAATTGTTTATTATAATGTACATCAGTTGACATTATTTCCAAAAAAAATGGTAATTTCATAGAAAAGTTTTAAAACTTGATTATAAAAGTTTTTTGAACAATTTTAATTGCTGAAGTTGTAAAAAAAATATAATAACTTACAAAGGAACGGGAAGTAGAGAAAAATAAAAGAAAAATTATCCGCAAATCAGAAAAAAATCAACAAAAAATAAATACTTCCGACAAACTCTTATTTAATTTCTTCCTCTTGGAAATATTTCTGAAAATTGAAAATTAAAATAAATAGAAGTCGAATGCTTTCAAGTATTTTCATTTTCCTCGTTTGATTGTCTTCGCATTTACCATTGTTCAGAGAAATTTTCTTTGAGAATATTGTCATAGATATTTCTTTTCAATATTTTTCCTTTCACTCTAACCTCTTGACAATTTTTTTTACACACAAATAATATAATAAGAAATTGTTTCTATACACAAAATATATAATCAAGTAAAAATTTTGAAAAAAAAGAAATGTCATTTCGTTTTCTATAGTTTTAATATTAAGGTAAATAGATAATGTCGATCGCAGTGCTGGGAAAATTTTTCATACTTTTCCAATTCTCAGAGAATAATAATGATAGTTTAATATTCTCCAGTCTTTTCTATTCTGTATATAGGGACCTTATATACGTTATAGCTATCAAGTTTCAGATACACTGCATTAAACTCTTTTATAAAAGAATTTCTAGAGCTAAAGCGTTTTTATGGAGTATATATCTTGTAATCGATTTTATTTCATGCCCTCGAGGAAAGAAATAATAACTTTACTTATTATTGAAATAATTTACTTTTCAAATCAACAATTTTTTATTTATTTTTTTTTTTTTTTGAGGGAAGGGTAAAATTTTTTTAAAAATGTTTGATTCGTCAATAAACAGCAGGTAAATTTTCGATTGTTTTCGAATCAATGAATAAAAATCTGTTTTCAAATGTCATTTTTTCTTATTATTATAGATAATTTTACTTTGTCAAATTTTAATCTCGCATGGGGCAAATGAATGAAATATTATGTTTTCCGAAAAGTCGGCGGAAATCCATTATTTTTCCAAAGACGGAACCTTTTTAGAAGATTTTTTATTTTTTATTTTTTTTTTTGCTCTACTATACATGAAATGTAAACAAAGCTTTTCATTTTCTTTTGTGAAGAGAATTGAAAACTGGTTTAAAAATTTTATAAAATGCTTTCAATCTTTTTATTGAGAAGAGAGAGAGAGAGAGAGAAAAAAAATTGTTCCATTTATTTTTTGGTTTATTGAAATCAATTTTTTAAAATTAATTAATTAATGGTAGCTTGAATATTGTAATTCGCCTTTTGAAGGGAAAATTAACACGTGGAAAATATAATAAACAGATTGGAAATTTTTTTAAATATAAAATTTTAAACAATGAAAAAAAATTTATTCAAAATTTATATTCAAAAACACAAATATCATCTAAAATAATAAATAAAATATTTAATAAACAAAAAAATAGATTCAAAATTTATATTCAAAAACTCAAATATCATCTAAAATAATTCATTAATTAAAATTCTTAAAAAAATATCATCAACTTGTTTAAATGTTTAATTTTTAATATTTCTCTTCAATTACATAAAACAAAGTTTCAATTATATTTATTAAACTTTCAATTAAATATTTTTAATAATTCAATTATTTTCAAGATATTCAAGTAAATTTCCCAGAAAAAATCAATTATTTTTAAGTAATTGAACTAAAATTTTAAATAATTCAATTATTTTCAAGCTATTTAAGTAAATTTTCAAAAAATTCAATTATTTTTAGGTATTTAAATTAAAATTTTTAAGATTTTTCAAGTAATTGAACTAAATATTTCTAAAATATTCAATTATTTTCAAGTAATTTAGTTAGAATTTTTCAAGAATTTTAAAGTAATTGAATTAAATTTCTAAGAAAATTCAATTATTTTCAAGAAATAGAATTATATTTCTAACAAATTCAATTATTTTCAAGTAATTAAACTAAAATTTTTAAAAATTAATATTTTCAAAATATTCAAGTAATTTTTTTTAAAAAATCAATTATTTTTAAATAATTGAACTAAAATTTTAAACAATTTAATTATTTTCAATTTATTCAAGAAAATTTTAAAAGAAAATTCAATTATTTTTAAGTATTTAAACTAAAATTTTTAAGATTTTTCAAGTACTTAAATTAAACTTCTTAAATATTTAATTATTTTCAAGTAATTTAGTTGAAATTTTTAAAAAATTTTGATATAATTGAATTAAATTTCTAAAAAAATTTAATTATTTTCAAGAAATAAAATTAAATTTCTTAAAAATTCAATTTTATTTTTAAGTATTTAAATTTTAAACTGAACTTTAAAAATATTAATTATTTTTTAAAAATTTAACTAAATTTCTGAAAAATTAAATTATTTCTAAGTATTTAAAATAAAATATTTCATAATTTTTAAGTAATTGAAATAAATGTCCAAAATATTCAATTATTTTCAATAAATTAAGCTACATTTTTCAAGAATTTGCGAATATTAGGAATAGAATTTCTAAAAAATTCTACTACTTTCAACTAATTAAACTAAAATAAAAATTTCAAGGAATAAATATAAATTTATGAAAAATTCAATTATTTTCAACTAATTAAACTAAAATTTTTTTAATTTAATTATTTTCAAGAAATTAGAGTGAATTTCTAAAGTATTAAATTATTATCAAGTAATTGATAAAAAATTCAATTTTTTTTAAGTATTTACATGAAAGTTTTTAGAATTTTCAAGAAATTGATCTAAATGTCTAAAAAAATTAACTATTGTCAAGTAAATTTAGCTAAAATGTTTGGAGAATTTTCCACTAATAGAAATATATTTCTGAAGAAATTAAACTATTCTTAAGAATTACAACCAAATTTAAAGCTAATTGATTTTAATTTCAAAAAATTCAAATTATTTTTAAGAAATTGAAGAATATTTATAAAAACTTTAACTATTTTCAATTAATTATACCAAAATTCTTAACAATTTTCAAGTAATTGAACTAAAATTAATGAACAAATGTATTACTTTCAAGTAACTTAATTGAATGTATTAAGAATTCAATCATTTTATAATTATTAAATTAAAATTACTAAAAAGACTATTTTTTAAAAGTTTATAATTACAATTCTTTATTAACTCTACAATATCAAAAATTAAATTTTTTTAAAATAATTAATTATTTCTTAATAACACTTATTTATTATTATTGTTTTATAAATATTACAATTAACAATTTCTCAAAGTATTTTAAAAAACTTGAATTAATATTTTTAAAACCCATATGTTTTAAAATTTTATGTATGTTTAAAATTAAAAAATTTTTTTTTTATTTAAAACCAAAATGTCTTTCATTTTGTTTTGTAAAGAATTTATTAAATATTTTGCAACACTTTTTTTACTTTTAGATATTCACAAATTTCAGGTTTGCAAAACAGTTTCATAAAAGGTTCTAAACTTTATGTATACAATTTTAAACTATAAAAATTTGTTTAGACTTTGTAATTAAAAAAAAATTGTTTTTAATTATAATCCAAAGAAATTTTGATTCCTTTTTTAAAAATTGGGCGCCAAATACTTTTAAATTTACTTTTGTTTTGATTTAAATATCTCTCGACAACTCTATCGATAGAGATAGCAGACTGACTGCGATTACAAGTCGATGCTGATCTGTAGTTTTAGATAAACTTTTTTAATTTTCAATTTTTTAATAAATTATTTCTTTTCATTTTTAAGGTATTTTTTTAATACTCTTGATAAAAGTCCCTAATTTCTTCCTCATTTTCCAAACAAATTTCCTTATTCCTGCCATTTTCCTGACTTCCCCGAATTTGCACTGAGAAATCTGTTAAATTTTTTGGGAAGAGAAAAATATTCTTGCTAAAATTGTCTTGTAATGGAATTTCTTTTTTTTATTTTTTCTAGGTAATATCAGAGTACTGTCGTTCACGCTTGCAATCAAGACCCTTCACTCACATTGTGATGGATATGTATCGCGAGGTAGTTTGCTCGCCCCAATATGCAGCCAGGAAACGAGTCCTGCAACGAGGAACGAATAAAAATTCCCCATCAACGGAAATGAATCATAAACAACCACCGCAACAACAATCACGACAATATACAACATCAGCTCAACAACGTTGGTCAAATATTCATCGTTTCCAAAAATATCATTCAAAAGGAGAGCCATCACTATTCAAAATACAATCACGAAATTCAAGATCACATCCAAATCTCAGGGGTCTCGCCTCATCATCCTCGACTGATGAGGAAAATCCAATAGCACGCTTTCAGTCCCAATTGAACATGATTAATGCCGCTGATATGTTAGATCATCCATCGATTGCATTCAGTCACTTGAGAACGGCCTCGCAACCATTGACGATGCCACCACATCAAATGCGAAGTAATGGCGATTTGATCGAGAGGAAAATTTCAAGTAACATCACTGAATATCATCAGTATCAAAGGAATAAAAGAAATGGCCTTCTTGAAATGCCACCGCCAATGAAACCATTTCTAAGCTCACAGGATGTGAGATATGGAGGCGGAAGTGGATTGTTGAAAGTGGGTCAGGATCATGATCAACTTTATACGAGACCAATAAATGGGAGAAGAAATAATTTCCCCTGCTTTTCATCGTCATCGTCTTCCACGTCGTCATTGAGGCCTAATGGCGTTCAACAAAAAGAGCCTACTTATGAGCCCCTAGTCAATACACCCAAGGTAACAAAATTTCGTCTATTTCTATTTTCATTTTTTCATTCAATTTTATTTGTACTTTTCATTTATAGTTTTACTTTCTTATTTTTTGTTCTTTCAATTTTAATTTAAACTCTTGCCTTTTGATTTAATTTAAATCGATTGTTTTTTAAAATTAGGATAAACTTAATTGAGGGACAAGCAGAATCTAATATTTTTAAATTAGAAAACCCTTAAATGGGACCTAAATGTGACCTAAATTGTTGACGAAATGTTGTATTCAACTATTTTAATAAATATCAAAATTCATTCCAGAAATTCAATTGAAGCGTTTTGTGCAGAAACCGCATAAGTCCATTTTTTTCGAAAATCACTTTTTTATTGAAAATTTATCTTTAAATGAAGATTTTCAATCTGGTAAAATATTACATAAGTGACTAAACTCTAAACCCTTAAAAAAAATAATTAAAATATCATTTTGTGCAGAAACAGCACAAGTCCATGATAAGTTTTATAATTATTTGTGATATTCTTGACGTATTTTAATAATTTATATTAAACAGTTTATATTATGAATAAAAACACTCATGGGAAGCAAAAAGTGACAGTGGTGACTGAATTATTTTAAAATTAGAAAATATTGAAAATTGGTTAAATTTATTCTTAAAACAATTTTATTATTTATAAAATGTTACTAAAAATTATCCAAATTTAATATTTTAAATAAATGTTATTAAATATTTCATAAAACTTTGATATTTCACTGGATTTAATAAATTTTCTGTGTTTTTCATTTGATTTTGTGCAAAAACAGCATAAGTCCAAATGTTAATGTATTTTTTAATTTTTTATATTAAGTAGATAATTAATTAATCATATTGAATTTTTTAACTTATAGGTTAGTAGAATATAATGCAAAAAGTCGAATTAAAAAAAATCTTAACATTTACGAGAAAAACAGTTTTTATTGATTCCTGAACAATTTCGAATTATGGACTTATGCTGTTTCTGCACAAAACGCTTCAATTATTATATTCAAAAATTTTTTAAAAATTCTCTTCAACATTTCAATTATCTTTATAAATAGCAAAATTCTTCTCAGAAATTCAATTATATTCCGGAATTTTTTATAAAATTCATGGTAAAATTCAATTATTTTCAAAATTAATCAAATTTTTCGCAGAAATTCAATTATTTTTAGGAATTTTAATGAAATTCATTGCAAAATTCAATTATTTCCATAAATAAGAGTAATCATTACGAGAATTCAATTATTTTCGAAAGTTATAAAAATAGAATTTGGGTAAATTTTTTTGAAAAAATCAAATTTATTAAAATTTGTTATTAAATTCTTCGCAGTAATTCCATTATTTTCATAAATTTTAAAATTCTTTTCAGGGAATTAATTATTTTCATAAATAATAAAATCCTTCGGAGGAAGTCAATTATTTTCATAAATAGCAATATATTCATCACAAGAGTTCAATTATTATTAAAATTAATAAAATTTTTCGCAGAAATTCAATTATTTTCAGGAATTTTAATAAAATTCATTGCAAAATTCAATTATTTTTCATAAATAATAGCATTCACCACACAATTATTTTTAAACTTAATAAAACTCTTTGCAGAAATTCAATTACATTTAGGAACTTTTACAAAATTCATTGTAAAAATCAATTATTGCCAAAATTAATTAAATTCTTCGCAGAAATTCAATAACTTGAACATCTATTATTGTAATAAAATTTCCCAAAAGAATTCAATTATTTAAATTAAAACCAATTTTGCCAAAGTTTCTACATGAATATTCAATTATTTTCTAAAATAATGAAAGTTTCACAGGAATTCAATTAATAAAAATAGAATTTGCATACATTTTTGCAAAAAAACTTGAAACTTTTTTTTAAAAAAATTCTTCTTACATAATAAGTCAATTATTTCCCTAAATAATAAAACTCATTGCAGAATTTCAATTATTTTTAATACAATTTTAAACGATTTTCTCAAAAAATGTAATTATTCTTAAAATTTTTATTAAAATTCGTCGAAAGAATTCATAAATTTAAAAAAATTAATTTAATATTTTATTGCTTAATAATAAAATTAAAAATAATAAAAACTTTCAATTTCTTGTTGCTAATAATTTATAAATTAAATTAATTTATTAGTTATTGTCAATCAATAAATTTATTTTTTTAACACATAAATTTATTTATTTATAAATTTCTGGTAATTTTATTTTTATAAATCTACAAAACTATTAAAACTATTAAAAAACTATTATTAAAATTTTTATTAATTAAATAATAAATAATAATAATTGATCAGTTAATAATAAATGAATTTACAAACAAATAATTTCTTACTAGACACAAAATCTATGCTTTGTAAAATAAAAATTTATTTCTTCAAAATTTAGTAATTCTAATGATCTGAAAATTACCAGAATTCAAGTAGGGATTGAGCCCTACTGAATCTTGAAAAATAGAGGATTTTATTTCATTTTTATGTAGTAGCACCCTCACCCGTATTGTAATAATCTTGAATTATAATTTTTTTTTATTTTGGATTATAAAATGTATTTAATCTATTGTGATTACGAAAAATAATTCTAAAACATTAAAAGGTTGTGTATAAATTATAAAGGCTATTAATCAGATTATATTCAGTATGATCTTTTTTTCTATATTCCTAATTGTATAATCCATTTTTCTCCGTGTGTTCTAAAATAAACTAAAATTGTAGAAACATTAAAAAATTGAGTTATTGACGATTGTTAAAAAATTCAAAATTATTTTTAAATTTTCAATATGGTGGAGAAAAGAAATTTTGAAAAGTAGAGAAAAATTTTTTCTAAACTTAAAAAAGAGCCAAACAGAAAATCAATGTCTTTAAGGAAAAGTCCCTGGAGAGCCTTGACTCACAGTAAGTTTACAAAGAAAAATTGACACAAGAATCCTTTTCAAAAGGAGCAAAGAACAAATTTCCTTTCAGACAATATGAGAATTTTTATACTATATAAAAACGGATTTTTTTTTATTTGAAACTAGAGTTTAACGTCACAAACAATAACTACAGAACTGTCTTCTTTTTTTGTTTTACAAAAAAATGTATTAAATTTAGCAATAATTTTTTTTACTTTCAGAAATTCATAAAATTCATATTTGTAAAACAGTTTTATAAAATATTCTAAATTTTATGTCCTCAATTTAAAACTATAAAAATTTGATCCTTTTATTTATTTATAAAGTTGATTAGATTTTGTAATTAAAAAAAATGGTTTTTAATTAATTCAAGAAAATTTCGTTTTTTTTAAATATTGGGCGCTAGATACTTTTAAATTACTTTTGTTTTGATTTAAACGTCTCTCGACAACTTGTCTGTTCATCTTTCGATGATGAAAGCAGACTGATTGCGATTACCAGTCGATGCTGGTCCGTACTCTCATAAACACTCTATTTCAATATTTAGATTTGCAGAACAATTTCGTAAAATGTTCTAAAATGATCGAAAATTGTATAAAATTCGAAACTATTCAAAGTTACTATACATACTGTTAAGTATAAGAAAATTTGCAACATTTCACAAAACTGTAGGTACTCTAAATTTTTTTGTTCAAAATTTAAAAGTACAAAAAGTAAAGGTTGAAAATATATTAAAAGTATAAAAAGTAAAGTAAAAAAAAAATTAAAAGTACAAAAGAAAAGTAAAAAAAAAATTAAAAGTAAAAAAGAAAAGTAAATAAAAAGGATTACAAAGCTTCCTTCACGAGCGAGGCAGAAAGAATGAAAATATTAAAAGTACAAATAACAATTGTTAAAAATTAAATTTTCAATCTTTTTTCCCTAAACGGAAAAAAATAACTAACGAAAAAATAAGGCAAATGTATTGAAAAATAAAATAAATTGATTCTAATAAAAAAATACCATACTAACGAAATTTTTTATGTATTCTCATAAAATAAAAAAACAGGAAGAAATTTACGCAAGTGCCGAGCCAACGGGAAACACATGTTCCAGACCCGTTCTACATCAACAAGTTTCAAATAATAGACTTTCAAATTTGAATCAAGACACCAATAATGAGGCAAATAATCCCCTAGTTTCAAAATCAATCACCGAACAGCTAAGAGCACGCATTGGAAATTTAAATGGACAACAAAAAATTCAAGAGTATTGTCGAAAAACAGTGCCTTCCGATAATATTCCCGATATTTACGGATCAAAACAACAACAACCACGAATAATCACAATGAATAAAGATCAATCAATTTCCAATGCGGAAAATCGAATACCAATTGAGACATCGTCAAGGTTTGTGTATGCTATTATTTTTTAATCCTCCAATTTTTATTATTTATTATTATCTATTATTATTTATTATTATTTATTATTTTTTTATCATTTAATATTCTTTACTATTAAAATAATATTTAATTACAAATGTTCACTAATTACTTTTCAATTTGTTTAGATTTAAACAACTCTCGATTTATTTTTTTCGAAACTTTCCTGTATCTAGAATATTGGGCGCCAGATACTTTTAAATTCCTTTTATTTCGATTCAAACGTTTCTTAATTTTTTATTACATTGCAATATAATATCTTTATATGCATAATGATCTAATTATTATTTATCTAGAATATTTTTAATTAAACTATTACAGGGTTGCCACAAAAAATTAATTTTGTTTTTCCCTGACATTTCCCTGATTTCCAGACTTTTTCCTGACTGATTTTGACTTTTTCCCTGACCCTAAAATATTTTTAAAATTCAACAACTTACAAGAATATTATTATAAAACATAAAGATATCAATCACTCCGAGTCTTCGACTCGGAGCAATTGATATCTTCATGTTTTATAAAAATTTTAATTTTCATAAAATTTAAAAAAAAATTAAATTATTTACAAAAATTATAATACAATTCGTTGCAAGAATTCAATTATTTGCATAAATAATAAAATTCTTCACAGGGTTTCAATTATTTTATTTTTAATACAATTTTAAGTAAATTTCTCAAAAAATGAAATTATCAAAAATTTCTTGCAAGAATTAAATTACATTTCACAAATAATGAAATTCTTCGCTGAAATTTAAAAATTTTCAAAATTTACTATTTTAATAAAAGTTCTCAAAAGAATTCAATTATTTAAAAGAAATGTATTAAAATTCGTTGCAGGAATTCAATTATTTTCATAAATAATAAGATTCTTTACATTATTTCAATTATTTAAAAAAAAAATTTCTTTTAATTGATTGCAAGAATTCAATTACTTCCATAAATTATAATAAAATTCTTCACAGGGTTTCAATTCTTTTATTTTTAATACAATTTTAAGTAAATTTCTCGAAAAATGAAATTATCAAAAATTTTTTGCAATAATTCAATTACATATGACAAATAATGAAATTCTTCGTTGAAATTCAAAAATTTTCAAAATTTACTATTTTAAAAAAAGTTCTCAAAAGAATTTAATTATTTAAATAAAATTTAATAAAATTTATTGCAGGAATTCAATTATTTTTGCAAGTAATGATATTTTCCACATGAATTCAATTATTTTAAAAAAATTGATAAAAATCGTTGTAAGAATTCCATTATTTTCATAAATTATAAAATTTTTCTAAGGATTTCAAATATTTTTAATCAAATTTAAAGTAAATTCTTAGAAAAATGGAATTATTTTCTTAAATTTTTTGCAAGAATTTAATTACATTTCACGAATAATGAAATTCTTTGCTAAAATTCAAATATTTTCAAAATCTACTATTTGAATAAAAGTTCTCAAAAGAATTTAATTATTTAAATAAAATGTAATCAAATTTATTGCAGGAATTCATATATTTTTAGAAGTAATAAAATTTTTTACATGAATTCAATTATTTAAAAAAAATTTCGAAAAAATTGATTGAAAAAATTTTGATTGAATTCAATTACTTTCATAAATTAATAAAAATTTTCACAGGATTTTAATTATTTTTAATACAATTTTAAGTAAATTCTTCAAAAAATGTAATTATTTTCAAAAGTTTTATTAAAATTCTTCGAAAGAATTCAATTATCAATTATTTTTAAGAATTCATTCTATAATGTTTTTAATATTCAATTATTATCTAAAATTCATTTTTAAATCAATTTTTATCGGAAAATTCTACGAGAATTCAATTATTTAAAGGCAAAAATAAATAATTTATTGAATGAATGAATATTTCTCGAAATTGAATAATTATCATAAAGAATTTTATCATCAAAATTGAATTTTTTTCGAGGAATTTTAATAAGATTTTCAAGAATAATTACATTTTTCGAGAAATTTAATTAAAAATGTATTAAAAATAATTGAAATTCTATGATGAGTTTTATTATTCAATGAAAATAATTGCATTCTTTTAAAAGATGTTATTATTTATGAAAATAATTGAATTATTGCGAAGAAATTTATAAAAAATTTGTAAATAGTTGAATTTCTGTGAAATTCTTATTATTTATGAAAATAATTTTATATTTGCTTAGAATTTTGTCTACATTTTTTTTTAAATAATTGAATTCTTTTGAAAAATTTGATTAAACTAGTAGATATTGAAAATCATTGAATTGGTGAAAATTTTTTGACAATAATTGAAATTTTGCAAAGAATTTGATTAAAATTTTTGAAAATAATTGAAATTTGGAGAAGAATTTTATTATTTTTAAAGATAATTGAATTTTGATGGGAATTTTTTTAAATTTTTGAACATAATTGAATTTATTGAAATCGGATATTTTTGTATTTCGCGCTAGACAATTCAAAAGGGACACGTGACTTCCTTCAGAACGCCACCTGTAAAATATACGTCGGTTTCCTTTTTACACCACTGTACGAATGCGTCTCGTCGCTCTCGGTACGCGCTTGTTAATCTTGTTAACCTTTTTACTTACTAACGAATCTTTTTTTGTGTTAAATAAATATAAACAGTGATTTGGAATTAACTGTGTTTTACTCGATCCATCCTAGTCTTAACAGGTTATGGGCCCAGAACGGGAAATAGTATAATCGCAGGAAAAGTAAAAACGTGCACGTGGCGTCCGAGCGACGAGTCTGTATTATATTAACGGCGGCATCATTTCTCGAAACGTGGAATTTCGCGAGTGAAGATGGCGTCAACTAGTGTTCGAATCGAAGCTTTATGTAAGAACAATTACGATACGTGGAAAATCCAAATGACGGCGATCTTGATAAAGAACGACTTCTGGGATTATGTAAATGGGGATAAAGTCAGACCCGCGATCGTTACAGGGGACGAGGCATCCGTGGCAGCAGCAGGAGCTTGGGATATCGAAGACAGAAAAGCAAGATCAGACATTATCTTAGCAATCAAACCATCGGAATTAAAGCAAATAAAAAATTGCGAAACGTCGAGGGATGTGTGGGAGAAGTTAAAGTCAATTTACCAATCAACCGGGCCAGCCCGAAAAGCGACGTTGCTCAAGACGCTTACGTTACTAAAAATGACGGACGATGGCGATGTACACGATCACCTGCAGAAATTCTTCGATATCATTGACAAGCTGAGCGAAATGGATATAGATGTAAACAAGGATCTCCTAACCGTGATGTTACTTTACAGTCTGCCCGTTAGCTTTGAAAATTTTCGCTGCGCGATAGAGTCGCGCGACGAGTTGCCGACCCCAGAAACATTACGCGTAAAAATTGTTGAAGAGTACGAAGCAAGAAAGAATGGAAATCAGTACAATCTTTCCGACGCGATGTTCTCGAAGAAAAAGTTTTTCAAATCGCGCAATACAAATCGAAAAGAAGACAATAAAAAATGTGACAGTGGACAGAAGAGTGAGCCATTTAAGTTTAGATGTCACCGGTGCCGAAAACTCGGTCATAAGGCAGTAGACTGCAATGAATCTAGAGAAACCAAAAACAACGCGAATACAGTGTACGACGAATGTTTACTATCGAATACAGAGAACACAAATCGCCCGGAAGCGTACGGGACGGGCGAATCGCGGAACAGTGAATTATGGTGTCTTGATAGTGGCTGCTCAACGCACATGGGAAACAATAACGCGAAATTTATAACCGAACTCCAACCTTGTGCCGGAAGTGTAAAATTGGCGAGTGAAACATCCACTACTCCAATCGAAGGAAAAGGATCTGTGGCTATCAGTGCAGACGTTAACGGTAAAGTGAAAAACATAAGTGTCAGTGACGTGTTACATGTTCCACAATTGCGCACAAATTTGTTATCCATTGGAAAAATCACAGATCGAAATTGTGTAGTGATCTTTGACAAACGGGAAGCTAAAATCATTAACAAAGCAGGTGAAACAATACTCGCTGCCGATCGGAAGGAAGGCTTGTATTATATACGCGAAGCAAGTAGTGAATTGAACTCGAATGTTGTGATCGACGAAAGTGTGAAAGACAATCCAATGGAAGTGTGGCATGTGAAAATGGGACACTTGAACGTCCGAGACCTCATCGACGGTGACCGGAAAGGAAAAATACAGGGTATGAATCTCGGAAATACAAACAGAAATTTTAACTGCAAAATATGTTTCAGCGAAAAAATGACGAGAACACCTTTTCCGAAGTCAGAGAGAAATTCAAAATTACTAGAGATTATCCACACCGACGTATGTGGCCCGATGCGCGTCGAATCGGTCGGAGGAGCCAGATATATCGCGACATTTATCGATGATTACTCCCGTTGGTGTGTCATACGTCTTCTGAAAAATAAGAGTGATGCGCTTTCCGCTTTCAAGGACTTCAAGGCCGCAGCTGAGAATATTCACGGGTGCAGGATACAATACGTCCAGTCAGACAACGGGAAAGAGTACATAAACTCCGCATTCAACGAGTTCCTGAAAGAAAATGGCATCGGCAGAAGGTTAACTGTCACTTATACACCACAACAGAATGGTGTTGCGGAAAGACGGAATAGGACACTGATGGACATGACGAGATGCCTCCTGAAACAATCAAATCTTCCTTCATCATTTTGGGGTGAAGCTGTTAATACTTCAAATTATATTCGGAACCGGTGTCCGTCCAGCAGTCTCGATGGTATGACTGCGTTTGAAAAGTGGACCGGGAAAGTTCCGAACGTGAGTGAATTCCAAATTTTCGGATCGGAAGTTTTCACTCTGAATAGATTACCGACAAAAGGAAAATTAGAATCTCGTTCTAAAACCGGAATTTTTGTCGGCTATTCCGATGAATCGAAAGGCTATCGTGTATGGATACCCAGTGAACATAGAATTGACATCACCAGGGACGTAAAGTTCATCGGACTACCAAAGAAATCGACGGAACCA